CGTTCATAGATAATGCTCAAAAACCGTATATATGACGTGACATGACATTATGAATGAAGTGACTGCTTTACAACCTGTGAAAGTTCGGTGTCTTTTTCGAACAAAATGTTTCATTGTTCCACAAGTACCGATCAAAATTCTATAGTTATTCTACATATATTAAACTTCTTTCTTTGAAAAGGCCTTTTAGAATATACAAACCATTCCATTTGAAACATATATGTTTGTGCTGCTACGTGGTTATGAATCACTCCGAAGAGAGCTTTTTAAGAAAGTGCGGACTTCCTACTAAAAACTCACCCTATACAGTGAGTAGTGCAAAAAATGAGTATATTTATGTCAGCGTTAAACGCTGAAATCCGTCATTCCCTGAAATGCATAGTCAGCCCCCGTATTGCCGGCAAACACCGCAACAGTTTGATTATTACAACGTTTGACTAAGCATTTCAGTTATTCCCTGTAATGACTGAACAATTTCAGTCAAACACCGTAACAACCACATTAACTTCGTTACGGCATTTGCCTGATTCAGTCATTATTGTACCAGTTTTGCTTGAGTATACACAACGTCTTTTCTGTGTTTGTGAAAATGTCGTAGCATTCAGAATTGTTTTACAAGAAACTAAGTGAATACTATGACTAAGAAAAAACCATGGAGTACAAATGAGTTAAAGGAGATAAGTTATTTTTTGTAATTTTGTGAACGTACATAGGCTTGCTCAACAGCAGCATCCAGTTCGTATATACAGGGTGTTTCAGTTTATTGTTGCATAGCTTTAAGATTCGATAGAACTTTTAAAATTAATGCATAAAGTCTATATAAACATGGGTCGAAAAATGCGTGGCTTCCGAAATACAGGGTGTTTAAATTTACGTTCTAAAATAGTTTTTTTTTAAATATTTCGAATAACATTTGATGTATAATAGTGAAAATTGGTATACAAGGGATTTTTGGTACGACAAAACGAACCATGGGCATAGTTTTACTGTAGCCGCTAGAGGGCGCTCTCTTCTGTACCTGTAGTGTATTAAAATGACCCAAAAATTTTTCTTAGTGCAATTATTTGCTTTTTGAATAAAAAAACTGATTCTTCGCACTTTTCAACTTAAAAAAGCTCTCTTGTGAATTTTCGTTATAGTTAGCCGTTTTTGAGATATTTCGATTTTTAAGGTTCGATGCATTTTTAATTATTTATGGGAAAATAATATTTTTTTTACATTTTCGATTTGGGCATTACAAGTAATTAAGATGATCGTTTAGATTGTGTTTTTAAACACAGCAATAATTCCTAACTCCAAATAAACACAAAAAAAAACAGAATATTAATTTGTTTAATTTTTCAATATTATTTTTAACAAATTAAATTAATTATTTACAACTAAAATGCTATTGGATAGTTAGGACAAACATACAAAATCTAAAGTAGTTGCTCGAAATGTAAACCCAATTGTTCAATACATAATTCACATCTACGAATGATCGAACGTGGTATAGCATTTTTCAAATAAGACTTTATTTCATCACATGCATTCCTGATTCTGTCTATTAGCGTATCTCTTGTGGTTACGGGAGTCTGGTACACTTTTTCTTTTAGAAATCCCCACACAAAGAAATCTAATGGATTTAGGTCAGGGGATCGTGGAGACCCGTCAGTATCTCGATAATTTTTAGAAGTAGGCTGCGCCTGCAAATATTTTTGAAATTGAAAGCAGAATAATGTTAAACGTCAATTAGTTGACAGTCAGTTTTGTTGTCTGTTGAAACCTGAAACGTTTTTTTGCAATTGTGAATGCACGAAATTTAGTTTCTTTTACCTGTTTTTTTGTTAGTTTTATAAAAATGCTATTTTTATTCTCCAATCAAGAGTTAGCCGATATTCATTTTGTGTATGGCTTTGTAAATGGGAACGCAGCAGAAGCAGCCAGAGAATACGCACGAAGATTTCCAAACAGACGACATCCAACTCGCTCAGTATTTGTAAGAGTGCATCGCCAAATAATTGAAAACGGGTTTGGAAATCTCCAAAGGGATCAAAACATAAATGTTCGTCAGCGCAGATTTACCCGTATGATTCGGCGTGAGTTTGATAGAGATAGGAGAGTTTCTGGTGCCTTGGGAATTTCAGCAAGCCATGTTCACCGTGTTCTTAGAAATGACCATAGACGTCCTTACCATTGGTAACCTGTGCAAGGACTACAGCCAGGGGACGGAGAACGAAGAATCACATTTTGCCAGTGGATTCTTGATAGAACTGATAATAATAGGGAGTTTTTAAGTAACGTTTTATGGACCGATGAGTCATGCTTCACTAGAATATTGTTCGAAATATTTAAAAAAAACTATTTTAGAAAGTAAATTTAAGCACTCTGTATTTCGGAAGCCACGCATTTTTCGACCCATGTTTATATAGACTTTATGCATTAATTTTAAAAGTTCTATCCAATCTTAAAGTTATGCAACAATAAACTGAAACACCCTGTATAGTAAATACTTGATTAAAAAAACAATAATGTAATAATAAAGACAACGTTTTAATATATTCTTCTTTCCTTTAAGATTAATTCCTGCTTGATTATTTTTCTTTTAATATAATTGATAAAGTAGTACCTTGTTATATTATGTACTTCATTGGAGCAACACTGGATTGATTACAGCGTTTGACTAAATTAGGCGAATGCAGTAACGAAGTTTATGTGGTTGTTACGGTGTTTGACTGAAACTGTTCAGTCATTACAGGGAATAACTGAAATGCTTAGTCAAACGTCATTACAGGTAATGACTGAAGTGCTTAGTCAAACGTTGTAATGTTCAGGAAATGACGGATTTCAGCGTTTGACGCCAACATATATATCGCTCTGCTTGAAAAGGCCATTATTGATCGGGCATACAGGGTGACTTCGAAGTTGAGTCATTTATTTTAACAGTGAGTAGATCTGATCAAAAGAAATGTTTTTTTCCTTTACCATTTTTCTGGTAAAATTAAAGTAACAAAGTTATAGCCCTTTGGAAGTTTGAGTACCGCCCTGTCTCAATAATAATATTATATGTTCGTGTTTGGCGACAACGCATATAATCCGCCTGACCGGTTCATCGCATCGGAAACAAAAAAGCGAAAGAATTTGAAACGTTTATCACGATGTTTTTCGTCAGTCGATAACGCGTTAGTGAATAGTAGTGTTTGTTGCGTGGCTCAAACGAAATCAAAAATGGCACATGTTTACGAAAATGCTGAACTTGTGAACATGATTCTTATTTAAAGGGGGGACAGTCTTTACAAAATGCTCCCGGATGCATCACGGATTTATGCGAATCGGTTTCCCAATCGAGTGCAACCAACCCCTCGTGCCTTTGTTAATGTAGTACAAAGGGCTCGTGAATCAGGTGACTTAAGACCTCACAGGTCAGGGCATGCTGCTCCAAGACCGCACGATCAAATACAGGTCCGCACTGAAATACTTGTCGGGACGATACTTTATTAAACAAGGTAACATTTTTTTTATTTATTTTTTTATTTTTACACACATATTTTGGTTTATCTTCCTTCTACAATCATTATCTGAAAATTAATGACTCAACTTCAAAGTGACCCTGTATAATAATACTCGACCAGTAATGATTTACTTCTTTCTCAACCTAGGCTATTTCGGGCGGATGCTGAAGAACTTTATTGTCGAATTCGAATAATTTTCTGATCTGTTAGTCAAAGCCTAGCGCACATCATTCGATCAACTTATTTTATTAGACCAGGCGTCGGATGGAGTTTGCACTTTATGAATGAATATCATTGTATTGAGAAGAGGTCAAAGAATAATAATCAGGATCTCGTCGGACCACTTTATGGTTATTTGATTAATCACTTCCCCTCTTAATAATCACATATACCATATTAGTATGATTTTTGAGACGCTCTGTAAATGTCAGGGCACCGCGGCTGTTACGAGAATTCCAAAGAAACTTTTTGTATCCAATTTTTGGACTGCCTAAGGTTAGTAGAACTGGGAAAAGCCTTCTCTTGTAGATTGTTCTACAATCTGGGTCCTAGAGACAAAGGACCGGTCGTATCGGCTGATATCTGTTCATAGATAAAGTGAAGTCTTTACATTTAGCAAACACAATTCCATCCAGCGACTGGTCTATATGGCAAGTCCAGAATGACCATTGTTACATTTTTTTGTAACAAATGCAACACAATGTCCGAAATTTGTTGTTTATGCGAGGCACTCTTCATCCGTTGATATGTTGTAGCTATTATGTGTAATTAAAGTTCGTTCATCCGCCGTAAATTGAGTGATTATCTGGAGCGTTACGTCCAGCAAGACTAATGATGATGGTAAACCTGTTTCGGCACTTGATTACTCTTTGTCGCATGTGATAACAGCATTTTTTGGATAACTCATTTGGGTCTCAGACGACTGAAAATACTGTCAATGTTAACCAAGAATATTTTCCATCTTTGTCAACGCTAGAACTGGCAACCAGCATTGATCTGAAACCTAACGTCCTTCGAGGGCCAATCTGCTTTATACATAGATGTCTTCTATACCAAGCTCTGTCATGCTTGATATTTCAGTCTAAGGCCTCGACTGTGACTTGGGTAGCCAAGGGCTTAGATAGACATACAACACCGTAGTTCTGTGCGTAAACGTTGTTATGTGCCGGTTGCCACAGTGCGCAACGCAGGGCTATGCGACATACAGGGTGTCAAATTCTACCCTTACCATTGGGATCTCGGAAACTGTAAGAGATACGAAGTCGCTTAAACGGCAAAGTTGCGTATTTAGGTAATCAAGAAAATGCCAAAATCGTTCTGAATTTTTCCTGACTTTATTTGAGATAGGATTCCAAAATAAATTGCATGTATTACTGAGTATGAGATACTAATCAAAATCAGTACAATACTGATAATAATTGTAATTTGTAATTTTCGGAAAAATATCGACGCTGAGTACTCGTATAACTCACTGTGTGGACAAATACCAGGGACGTATTGAAAAATAGATTTAACAAAGAAAACTTGTATTTATTTTTTTATCATCAATTTTTACATACTCTGTATATAATAATCAACTCAAAGATAGCAAGAAAACAATTAAAAATCTATATAAATTAGTTCTTATAACAAAATGTACAAAATACAAAAAAGAAGGTACTAAAAAATATTTAACATACTTCACACTATTCATGATTCTTTCATCAGATATCAAAAACATGTTATAGCTGACATTCGGGGTAGCTACGGTTCTGACTAAATATATACATTTTTACAAAAATTGGACAATTCTCAGCACTAGATTATCAATAACTTAAAGCTATGTACAGCAACAAGCCCTCTTTGGTATACCAAAAGCGATGTTTTTTTAAAATCCATGAAGAGAGGCCTTATGCTCAAGTGAGTATTACTTTATGCTTTATTACTTTTTTCAGTTATTTTAATAATTGACATTGCTCGTCTGAATTTTTTATATTATTTAGTTTGAAAATAATATACAAAAAGCCATTTCAAAAAATCTGTTATTGGTTATTTGATAAGATAGATAGAACGCACTTTAGAAATTATTTTTTGTTAGCTTTTACTTCGTGGTATTGATACATTTGGCAATTGTAGGTTTTAATTTTTAAACGGGAAGGTCCTTCACCTTTAAATTTAGGACTATTATAGTTTTTTGCAAACGAAGCATTACATAAAATTTGGTTTTTAATCTCAATTACAATAAATATCATATAAAACTGGTACACGGACAACGGTATAGAGTTATGTACATAAAAAAAGATATGATTGCGCACTGGTTTGAGTTCGACTTAATAAAGTTATTTTTTAAAACATAAAGTCTATAAATAATCTTGTATAGAAATATTGTACATTGTCTTTCAGACAATATAACGTAATTTATATTTCTATAACTCCGAAAAAAAAATTCACTTTTTCATTGAAAAAATCCGTTTGCATAGTGCCGGATTATTTTTCATGTTTTTGGATAAGACATTTATTATATACAAGGCGACCATTTGATTGTTTTGTACTATTTTTCAGAATTCTGAAACAATCTAGAGGAAAGTTTACAGACGAAGTGTGTGCGATAGGAACTAAAAATTATGAAACTCATTATTCTCTATCACATTGTACGTATGGTAAGGCGTAACGTCAAAGTGATATTATCTATATACAGGGTGTTTCAGAATCAGTTGTCAAAGTTTTATGCTGAGAACAAATAAAATATAATGAATTTTTTTCGCAGTTTTGATAGGATTTTACCTTTACCTCAAAACAGTTTTTTTAACGAGAAATGGTAAAAAGCAGCTTAATCTGTTAGCGTTGCTTTATGTTATGAATATCTCTTGGGGCTTAATAAATCGGAAGTTTTTCAAAAGTACTACGTTTTCTAGGTATAATATAAAAAACGCAACTAGCATACTGATCATGGTGCACCCTGAATATAGCAATAGTCCCAAAAATCAACTCCGACGTTACAAAATGACTTAAATACTGCTAAGAAACGAGGTAGTTTGCACTTGTTGTATGTCAATGGGGCAGGGGTACCAACCTCTGTTAGGTGCAATTGGGCTGAATACAGCCCTGTCCCCGGCTAGCACCATACTATGGTGCCAACCTCTCTCACGTCCCCAGTCCGATAGCGACAAACAGTATCATGAACACCATGGGGCTGAGTACGGTCCTGTCTACAGACCCGTTGGTCAGCACCACAGTCGGCACTTGGTCCTGGTCTTGTTTGGGCACTTGAGGCGCGTCATGATGCGTGTGGTTCGGGTGTTTGTGCTTCGCGAAGCACAATTTGTTCATGTTTCTTTGAATTGCTAGGCAGTCGTACTCTTCTTTGCCTAAAAACGTAAAGAAAGGAACGGTTATTTTATTGTAACGGAAACACGTATTCACTGAACCAATTTTTATCTACTCAAAAGCACTGAGTCATAACATCTGTAATTTATGTTGGAAAATTCGATTTAGGGATTTCCTGAAGGTTCTAGCTGTGGTTCTAGACTCCGCACTTTCGGTGGTCGCCGATAGACTGCGCTTCTTGTTCTCGCACGCGCCAACAGATGGCGCTTGGCGTCACATTATTGTAGCAATAGTACGAATATACACTGAAAACCGGCAGCCAATTTTGAACCCTCACCGTAGAAATTAGATACTAGTGCCTACAAAGATTCGAGTTCCATGTTATGCACACATAAGTAGGAGATAAAGCGCACAGTCACATATAAACCTAGCCTCAAAATCCTCCAACTAATATTTTTGACTGTATATTAAAATCATTGTGGGATTGAAAACAAGGCAATGGAAAACTACAAATTTGTCTTTATGACATATGTCAATCTCTTTCAAATACAATCGAGTCATTTCTAATTGAGTCATATCCAGTAATATCAGCACGGTGGCCTTTATGACTTCTGAACAGAAAAATACCCACAGTCCACTCCACTCCACTCTCGGAATGTCCGGGTGGAGGGTGGGCTCGAGGGAACAACATCGAAGATAAAATTTGTTTTTCGAACATCTGCGGGATCAACAGCAACATTGATGCTGTTCATCACTACCTGCAATCCAATCGTCCCGCAGTGCTTTTCTTGGCGGAGACAAAAATCTCAGAGACTGCACCGATTAACCATCTCAACTTCCCAAACTACGAGGTGCACTCCAATCTGAGAAAGAACGGAGTTGTGGCTTTTGTCCGCAGCAGTCTTTCCTGCTCCAGGGATCTTTCTTTGGAATCAGACCGGAAGGACATTCTGTGGCTTCGCCTCAACTCCAAAACATCACCCAAATTTATTTGCTGCCTTTATCGCTCTCCCTCGAACCATAACTGGGATGACCTACTCGAATACCTCGCCGTCCAGATCGACTTCCTGAACATCAATCACCCCGCTTCAGAGGTAGTTCTTCTCGGTGATTTCAATGCCCATAATGAGCTTTGGTTGGGCTCAAATAAGACCGATGCAGCAGGTCGTGCAGTCGAAGCGTTCGCTCTTACTCAAGGGCTGACCCAGCTGGTGACGAGCCCTACTTTTTTCCCCCGCGTCTCGTCACACGCCAGTAGCCTGCTGGATCTCTTTCTGACCACGCATCCTGCCCCTTACAGCACTGCTGTCCTGTCCCCCCTGGGTAACTCAGATCACGGTGTTGTGGAGGTTAGGTTTCGGTCCGAAACCGCTGTGGCAGCAGAAACTCGCACAGGCCGCAAAACTTGGCATTACGGACATGCCGACTGGGTGGGGCTCAGAGACTTCTTCTCTAGCTTTCCTTGGAGAGATGTCTGTTTCACTGACGCGGATGCGTCGACTGTCTGTTCTTCAATAACCGAAATTATCCACGTCGGAATGGAAGAATACATCCCTCACACAGTGAAAGTTCCTAAACCAGGGTCCAACGGCTGGTTCAACAAATCGTGTGACACTGCTCGCCAGCAGAAGATCAAGGCCCACAGAACCTACTTAAAAAACCCCACTGTAGAGAACAGACAAGCCGACGTCGAGTCCAGAAACAAATATAACGAAACGGTTCGCAATGCCAAAAACCAGCATGATATAAAAGTTAGGCACAGGGTAATGTCGCAGCGCAATGGCAGTCGGTCTTTCTGGACGCTGGCCAAGCAGATTGAAAAGAACTTCTCACACAGTAGCCTTCCACCACTTACGTGTCAGGATGGAACTATTGTATTCGACTCAAAGGTCAAGGCGGAAGTGCTAGCCAAGATCTTTGCTGCCAACTCCACCATGGACGTCCCCACCAACGCCTAAGTGCCGTCAATTCAAAGGGTTCCTCACACTATGCGGGAGGTAACATTCAGGCATAAGACCGTAAGACGAGTGGTCTTGTCGCTCGACATCAACAAAGCTTCTGGTCCGGACTTGATTCCTGCCATTGTACTGAAGAGAAGTGCAGCGGAGCTTGCTCCAGTTCTTTCGCGTCTCTTCCAGATATCTTATGAATCCGGCACCTTCCCAGAAAACTGGAAATTTGCTCATGTACAGCCCATCCCAAAAAAAGGATCTAAAATCGACCCTTACAACTACAGGCCTATAGCTCTGCTTTCTGTTATAAGTAAAGTGATGGGGAGGTGCATAAATCGCGAGCTTCTGGACTACCTCGAACGTCACAGCTTGATTAGCGACAGGCAGTACGGTTTCCGGCACCAACGATCCACAGGGGACCTCCTAGCTTACGTCACGCAACTGTGGAGTAAACTCATCCAGTCTCATGGTGAGGCTCATGTCGTTGCTCTTGACATCACGAAAGCGTTCGATCAGCTGTGGCACGCTGCCCTCTTAAGCAAACTTCCATCCTAAGGCCTCCCAGAAAAGCTTTGCAGATGGGTGGCTGACTTTATCTCTGGCCGCAAGATATCCGTCGTAATTGACGGATTCTCCTCTTCATCCCACAACGTCAACGCGGGTGTTCCCCAGGGATCGGTCTTGGCTCCAACACTGTTTCTCTTACATATCAACGACCGCCTTTCCTGCACGATCAACCCAATCCACAGCTTCGCTGATGACAGCACTCTACATGCAGGAATTCAGAGTGACAAGCCGATCTCTGCCGCTGAGCTGGAAAAAAGAAGACTAGCGACGACTTCTTCTCTGACAAGAGACCTGGAGGCTATCACTGCTTGGGGACGCAACAATCTTGTACAGTTCAATGCTTCCAAAACACGGTACTGTACTTTGACGAACAAAAAGCGTCCTAGCGCTCATACAGTTTTGATGGACGGTCGAGTTCTACCAAAGAGCCATTCATTTCGGCTGGTCGGAGTCCAGATGACCGAGGACCTGATCTGGCACGAACACATCTCTTCAATAGCTGCAGCTGCTGGGAAAAAGCTAGGCTATTTGTTTAGGGCTAAGACGTACTTTTCTCCGCATGACCTTCTCACTCTATACAAGGCCCAGATAAGGCCTAGCCTCTAGTATTGCTCACACATTTGGGGTGCTGCCGCCCCGACTACATTGTCCATGCTCGATGCTGTCCAGAGGAGGGCGGTCCGACTGATCGATTACTCTTCTCTAACAGACAGTCTCGGGACTCTTTCGCACCGGCGGGCCGTCGGCGATCTAGCTTTTTTCTATCGCTACACCAACGGGCTTTGCTCCTCAGAGCTCTCTTCTATGATGCCGCCGCGCGATGTGCCTGCCAGACAGACCCGCCTGACTTCTTCGTCGCATCCTAACCGTGTCAAACTTCGTACATCCAGAACTGGCCGATACGACCGCTCCTTTGTCCCGAGGGTATCTAGATTGTGGAACAATCTACGGGAGGAAGCTTTTCCCAGTTCTACTAACCTTAGGCAGTTCAAAAATCGTATTAACAAAATTTCTTTGGGATCATCATAGCAGCCGCGGTGTTCCGGCATTTAGGCTTCTGCCTGCGCGGCTGTTTCGATATATAAAAAAAAAAGTCCTAAGCATCATCACGGTCATATGACTGGTGTATTTGACTCAAAGAATTTTCTGATTGTTATTGAAGAGATCAGAATGTTTAAAAATGCTGATCCATCTACGCACAAAAATCATCTGGAGCTTGAGCTTGACTATTTTGTAGATTAAGTTTTAGGTGTTACCCTCAAATAACGTACTCTACATGAAGATAGCCAACCTAATACTATATTCCTGCGTCCAAAAATCTACTACATCTACTTTGAAAAGGTTAACGTTTCATGGATCGTTAGTGTTAAATTATATATATATATATATATATATAATACGTTTTGTGAACGTTGTAATATTTTGTGATCCTTTTTCTAATTTTGACACGCTCTTTTGTCATGCCTCAATATTCTGTTTAATGAACAACAACAATGGCCTTGAGTTAAACTTTTCTTTGGAAAAGTAGGCGTCTCAGTTATCGCAATAGGAATATCGTTTGAAATGACAGCAGAAAATACGGTGTATTGCATCATTTTGCAATCTCAATGAATCAGGCAAATACCTTGTTTTACTAGATTACCGCGATATTATTGACACCTCACGTGGTCAAACTTAAGAGGAAAAGAACAATTTTTTTTCGATTTCTAATGATTTCTTAAAAAAGCAATTAAACCTGTAGCACGGAAATATTAAATGTCACATGTATCCAAGAATATACAGGGTGTCCGCAAAGTTGGGGTTTTCCTTTTCGGAAACAACTACCCTGGAAATAACAAAGGTAATGTGTAGTGAAACGAGGGCGACCAAGTAAAAAAAAATAAAGGAAAAAGTACTCACTCTCCAGTTGACGAGAAGGGCTAAGTACGTCTCTGCCCGAAATCATACTTCTCCAACAGAAAATGAAATCAACTGATGCGCTACCGAGCAGACGCAGAAACCACATTGATTGTCTTACACTTAATGGCACATCTTCTAACAAGGAAGGCAAAATGTTGCGTAAAAAGTCTAGGTATCGCATTCCGTCCAATCGATTTGGGAGAATAAATGGTCCAATGAGCATACCGTGCACCATGCCAGCCCAAACATTCACCGAAAATGTTTATTGAAAATGTGCCCGACGGACAGCGTGCGGATTTTCTACTGACCAAACATGAGCGTTGCGAAAGTTATTCACCCCATTACGCGTGAACGTAGATTCGTCTGTCACCAATATGCACTTCAAAAAGTCCGGATTATTGTCATGTTGATGCAACAACCACTCACAAAACCGCACTCTTGCTGGAAAATCGTCAGGTTGAAGGGCTTGTACACGTTGGACGTGAAACGGATACAGCCCCTCTTCACGCAGCGTTTGCCACACTTTAGTTTTTGATACTTGCACTTCTCTGGCCACGTCTCTAGTGCTTGTTGAGGGATTCTCGTCTACGCGATTACCTCTACACGCGTGACCGTAACCGTCGGTTGAGGGTTGCATACTGACCTGACACACTGACCTCGACCGAGTTCTGTCGTCGGGTTGAGTCAGTGACCTTGTACCAGTCGGTGATGTCGCGGCTACAGGACGGTATTCAGATATTTTTGATGTTGCAGAGCCCTTTATCTCGGTTCCCTTAAGACATTGGTGTATATGGTATGTTGAAAAAAGAATAAGAAAACCTTCATGTGTTATCACGAGACTTAAAACTGTGAGTGAAGGAACCAATTTCCTCCAAATTTGAAAAACGTCAAAAAATTCGAAAACCGTGCAACTTTTACTAGACACAATTTTCTATTTTTTTAATCGTTATGATGTCCTCTAACTGCAGGTTAAAGGTTATCCACTCTTTACGCCACATCCTGTATGGGTATTAAGCAAAAGTAAAACTCCAAAAAAATCAAGATTCTTAAATCAGTTTCTTCTTCTATGCTTCTAGTGTAAGTACAACCGTAATCACTATGAAAGTGTATCAACGGTTAAGACGGATTTTGCCGCAGTCATACATATTTACATTCAATTTTTAATAGGAAGGAGCGGCTTTTGATACATTTTGTGGCTGTATTTATGAGTCAAGGTCTACCATTAATATTATTAACTATCTCAATTTATTTTCAAAAATGGATAAGGCGGGTTTACGCCTCCATTAAAGACGGATCGTAATTTATTTTAGGTCTCAATAAAAATTATGATCCGAAATCACCTTTAAATGACTCTCTATAAAGTCATGCAAGATTCATTCACTTGTGTTCTGTCATAATAGTACTATATACCTGTATATTTAGTTCGAAAAAATCCAGAATTTGGATATCAATTTTCTCAGACTTCCATTTTTACACTTTACTGTCTTCTACCCAAGTACGGCAGCATAGCTGTGACAAATTCTCATAGATGGCGTAAAGATATCTCATTTCATCTTGGATAATTTTTTAGAAGCTATCTTAAAAAGCCCTGATTTGTAACTCAGGACATTTACTGGTATTGATAGTTTTGGATATTCCTAACTGTCCTATAGACAATTTCTCAACTTACCATCACATTTACACTGGAATAACCTAGCAGCTTTCTCCTGCCTATGCAGGATGTTGACGGAATTGTTGCACCTCGCATTGCACTTCTTCCCCGCGAACATCGCCCGGCAGTACCGATTGTAGTACTCTAGGGCCTTCGAGCACAGGGCATCAGCCCCGCAGATCCATTGGGCTACACTGCAGGAGACAACGGGCTGATTCATGAAATGGGTCACTCCCGCGCGGCAGACCTCTGTTCTGCGTTTTTGGTCTAGACAGAACTCGTCGCTGCATTCACACTGAAAAAAAAAATATAAAATGAGGATAATATGCTTACATTTAGGAGGTCACAGAACACCGGAGCATAGATGCCAAGAGCGACATTGCTTAAACCTTCACCCAAAAGCAAGGTTTTCTGTAGAGATGATTCTTAGCTACGTTTGATGGAAATCCATATTTCACTTATTGGGGATGAACGTGAGGGTGAGAAACCCACAGTAAGCGTATATGCATGAATGGACTATCTGATGATAGCCTACTGGCGGGGTGGTATAGTAATCGCGAAAACGAATGAGATATTATGTTTTTTGGATCCTATATAAGTTTAGCCAGTTGGCTACTCATATCTCACATATATGTAACCTAAAAATAAATACATCGATCTGGCTTTCAACTGAGTGAGCTAATAATAAAGGGAAAAAATACAATCAATTGATAAATCCGCGCTATATTGGTTTACCAAAAAGGAACCAGTCAAGAACCAATACTGAATGGATGACAACACAAAAAAAATATAAAGACAATAACAACTAATTATGATACATCTAACAGCTGATTTTTAACCAGCTTTCTGAATGTTACTACACTTTTGCTTCTTCAGGCAGGGTTGGCTGAGTTGTATAACCTCACAGCATTGAAAGTGAAACATTTTTGAAACAATGCGGTGTAGTGCAAAGGCATTATCAGATTATTATTATGCCTCAGATCTCTAAGATTAATGATTCCTCTAGTTACCAATTTACTATGGAGGTAGATGGGCTTTTTAGTACACAATATCTTATGCACCAATACCTTAAGACTATATTCAAATTGTTGATCCATTTTCAGCCATTTCAACTTCTTGATCTTACAGGAGACATGACTATATTTTCGAAGACCATACAGCAGTTGTTTTGCACTCTTTGGATCCTACACCTATTCATCGAGTCAAGACAGGGATAGTATAAGGTTAAAGCGTAGTTGAGGTTGGACATTACCAAACTTTCAACTAGCTTCTTACGCGTTTTAAAGTTTAAAATGAATCTATTAGCATATAGCAGTCTTAATTTGATGTAGGTGGACTTCGATAGATGACACACATGTTTGTCAAATGTTAAACTAGAGTCGAAGATCACACCAAGATTTTTTGCTTGTTCCACAATAGGAATGAGCTCGTTGTTGATGCTCAATGCAATTCTGTCCCTTACTCTATTATGCAAATGTTTTGGCTAAAAAAGTATGCAAGTACTCTTATCCGGATTGATCTTCAACATGTGTCTTTTACATGTTGGCAAGATCACAATTTAGCTTATATGACACTTCATCCAGATGAGACAAGTCAAAATGAAAAGAAAGCTGCGTATCATCCGCGTAAGTTTGTATAGCACAATGCTCAATACATGAATGTAAATCAAAAGTATATATCAAATACAGTAAAGGACCTAAGACAGAGCCCTGAGGAACACCTGAAGAGACGTCAACAGAAGATGAGACACCTCTAACTGTCTTCACACCTTTTGTTTACGATTACTTAAGTAATTTTCAAAAGATTTAAGCGGAATGTCAGAAAGTCCAATATACTTTAACTTACTCAACAAAATTTTATGGTTAACAGTGTCGAACGCCTTAGAGAAGTCGACCATAACTAAAACTGTATTAATATGTTTATCCATATTATTTAAGATATTGTCTGTCAAATGGAGAAGTGAAGAAGTTGTACTGTGTCCAGCACGAAATCCAGACTGATGAACAGGAAGTAAATTGTTAATCTCTAAATATTCAATTAGTTGGAGATAAACAGCTTTTTCTAATATCTTTGAAAAGAAACGCAGTATGCTGACGGGTCGTAAATGATCAAGAGTTATGGGATTTTTTAATTTGGCTAGAGGAAGAATTATTGCTTCTTTCCAGACATTAGGAAAGCTCAAAGTTTCTAAACATATATTAACAATATGAGTTAGATACTGAAGTACTTCAGGTGAACAAAGACCAAACATGTCCACACCAATACCATCACAGCCTATTGCAGTCGACTTTATAGAGTCAGAAAATAATATGACATGTCACTCATTTCCGTCGGTCTGTCTGTCTGTTTGCTAATCTTATAACCGCCTATACGTTGAGAAGTACCGGCCGGATTTCGATAAAATTTTTACATAACGTTACCACTTTGCCAAGGACGCAAAAGCTTTGTAGTTTTTGGTCCAGTGGCGGCAGAGAAAAGGGCCTAAAACCAAAAAAATCAAGATTGCTGTAACTTTGTTTTCTGACGTTCCAGAAGATCCTGATCATTTTTGGTAAAACGACATGAGGCTGGGGGTTGTTGGGGAGTGAAGAGGGTTCATCTCAATTCTTTGATATTAGTACATTTATACGCTCCTATTAGACATATTTCACACATAATAGATTTCTCTGTACATTAACCCTTGAAACTTATTCTCGGCAGACCTCGATGAATGTTCTGGTATGGTATCACGTATTTCTACCGCGCCACAGCTTAGTGTTTCCTATGCTCTGACCGCGCTGCCTCGGTGCTACGTCTGACCAAGTTGAGTATCGGGGAGACGCGTCGTTTCCAGTTGCACTAGCGGTAGATCAGGGATCTATGGACTGTTTGAAATATTTTTTCTCAGATGTATGATCTTCAAAAATGTAATAATAAAAGTATCAGCATGCGATTCACTTGAAGATTGTTTTTTAAGTAGTAAGTTTGTGTGATCAATAAAAGTTAAGTTGACCCTGGATCACCCATCTTTTTTCAAAACACTAGACCACTTAAGGGTAATTTTTCACAATGCACCATTTTATCTCATCTAGTCTATCTCATGCTCGCAGCTCGTATTCTGAGTGCAAGAGTTGTATCGTTGAGTTCGGTTTATCGCGATAAGCTAAAGAAAGCGATGTATTCTGGGGAGCGCGTAAGCTGAGCGATTTGAGGCACTCGGTGCCGCAGACGTCTGTTATGCGAAGACGATGTGTTAACTTCTTGTTTGAAAAAGGGTGTCATTTTGGGTAGTGGGAAATTTGGTTGTAAAAGCTCAAGACGTTTACTAACACCGAAGTATTCCAGGTACATACCTATTGCATCAATAATAAAGTAGTTGACGTAACTGGTTCTTATGAACAAATACGCTGACAATACAGATGATAAATCTTTTTGATCCTCACCTTTAATTTGAATAGTTCTAGAACCCCTCTTTACCCTATCTTGACACCCGGCAGATCCAACTTCCAACAAGATAATGCCCGACCACATGTGCAAGAGTCACAATAGAATTCTTTCAACATAATGAGTCACATGTTACCATGGCCACCAGATCCCGACTTATCCCAATGAGCACGTTGGGATATGAGGGTGAGATTGCCATTTGCAACGTCCTCCTCAGACTCTAGAAGCACTCGAGAGAGTTGGTGGTGCCTGGAATGAGATACCACAGAGGACATTGACCACCTGATCAAAGCTTCTAGCGCGTTGAGAATGGCAGCACATCGGGTGCATCCACATTATAAAGGTCAAAGGCTTTAAAGCAGTGCAATTATTTGAAATTTTATGTTGACTTATTATGCTTCATAAGTACTTATACAAATTTTATTAAAATAAAACCATTTAAACTGGGTGTTCGGATTATATGTCATACTTATAGAATAATCTTTATGTACCTTTTTTATTGACAAAACCAAATTAAAGTTTAGTGTTTGTGTTACAAACCTCGGAGTAATTTTTGCGTTTCGAAATTCAAAGTACTACTACAAAATAGTTTTAATTTTTTCCTGACTTTATTCGTGACGGCATTTTGAGATGAATTACACATTAAGATTGCCACTTTTGATCCTCTACAAAAAGGCATAATTGGAATTTCAATTTGACGTTTTGTCTCTTGTCCTCCAGCATCAACTTATTTTTTCTCATGGGCGCCATATCGGATGTTTACACAGATGAATAGAGTTTTTAATTCTGATTCCAAAAATCCATAATACGTCATACATTGACATTGCCAAACTTCAGTTATTTCAAAAAAGCAGAATTACCAACCAAATTACCAGATAGTCATCTGTTTCGCATACCAGATTTATCCCAAAATCACTTTTATTTGTTTATTTGAGATGGGATTTTAAAATAGATTGCATGTCAACATTGCCCCTGTTTCTCCTCTGCAAGATGGCGTAATTAGAATTTATTCACTATTAAGGGAAAGCCTGGAATAATTATCTATAAATACTTTTAAATATTATTTGAAAGATCACCTATTCCATTAATAAGTGTATTTTTTATCTGTGTATGTGCTTGAAGATTTAATTTCAACTTTAGATGTATTCACATAGTTTTACTATTATATTTTTTCATATTTGGAAGAATACCTACATCAGCTAAACTTCGCCCTTTTAAAATGATCATTATAAATAAAGACGATTATTATCAATACTTTTGCTCCTGAAATCTTGGCCTGAATGAATAAACACATTTTACCATCTCGGATACCGAAGGACTCCTACAGTACCATATTGGTACTCGGCTACATGTAACTCAACAATAATAAGACACCTGTTCGTTATTACCCGGACCCCCCAGAACCTGACGACTCAAATACCAACATTAATTCGCTAAATATTATATGGTTATAAATAATTTCCAAATTGCGGTGAATACGCTATAATGGTGCGGTGTTCAAGGTAGGTGGCAGAAATTTTCACGCAGCTTCTGTGGTCCGACAAAGAACTGAAGAAGGCTGTTGTTATTGGATAGTGCAAGACTGTTAACCATAGAATGCTCAATCTGCTAATGCTATGATTGATTTTATAGCAACATATAAGGGTCGCACAAATGACGCTGTCAATTGAAAATCAACGGCCATGTTTACACCGTAGGTGACCAAGCGCTTAGATAGCCACGGAGCACCATAGCCTACAAAAGAAAAACGAAAATCCCAACCGTGTCGAACTTCGTACATCCAGAATGGCCGATATGACCACTCATTTGTCCTTAGAGTGTCGACATTGTTTAAATATGTATAAGAGGAGGCGTTTCACAGTTCTACAACCT